GCGAACAGACACATGCCACAAGAGGGACAGCACCAGATGCGAGAACTACAGACACCAAGGCAAACACCGTCTCGATGACGACGTTGCATGGGGGCACGTGTATAGCCGGATGACTCCCGCGCTGGCACAGCGCTTTCACTGACAGGTTTTGTTGAGGACTGGGTTGGAAAGGGTAATTTCCCAACAGCCTTGCTCCAGCAGATAGGGGTCGCAGCATGATGCCGCAATCGTCATTCTCTGCTATGCGCTGTCTGCTGCGTCACTGACATGAGAGCCTGATGATCGACCACATCCATACTCCTTCAGTTCATCACACCGCTTCTTCTTCAAGGGAGGGAGGGCGCCACTATCGACAGGACCTTGCAGGCTACGTGCTTGATCCTACACACAGGCCACCGCAAGCCACTGCAGCCTGAGTGGTGACAGTCGGGTTACTGGATGGGTAGCACGCAACCGTAAAGTCAGTGACTGCTAGGTCTTCGAAACGGATGTCACGGTGTTGAAAAAAAATGAGGCTGAAAAATTAACGAAAAATCTAACAGTGCGGGCGAGGTGGTTGAAACAGGCACCCAGTGGGCCGTTTGGAAGCCCTATCGCGAAGCGGCTGTGGGCCTAACCGTACGAGACCAGTGGCTGATCAACCCACTTAGCGATCTGTTGGCAGCCATCGCCATGAGCAGCGCTGCCGATTATTGCTCTACTGATGTATGTATGTCTTGCTGACGAGAGCTATGATCATGCGGCCGTCAGCAGCTTACAACTGCTAGTCTGGAATTCCACCGGTTTGGAATTCCACGAGTTTGGAATTTCGTTAGTTTGGAATTCCGTAGATGTGGAATTTTGTGAACGTGGAACTCCAGACCAATGGAATTCAAGACTGATAGAATTCCAGACTAGCGGAATACCCGAACTCTGGAATTCCATGCTGAGGTTACCGATGATGATGCGGGTTTTCGAATGCTTTACTCACATACTGTCAAGAAGTATAGTACATAGAGCGCCTCACCTAGTCTATCCTAAAAACACTAGTCACGATTGTGTTCCTCACCCCTCGAGTATGCGCCCTTGCAGCGGCAGAGGAAATATAGAGATTATGCGCATGACTAAGTTTTAGGTAAGGTTGAACAACCTATCATACAAACTGCCCGCCATTGTCTTCAATCTCTGAATTATATAGATCTCGCAGCGGGATAGACAACAATGAATCATCGGAAGCCATGTCTTTCGGACAAGCTAACAGAGCGCTTTGACTGGACGCATCTTCAATGTCGTACACACCGCATCAGTAAAGAAATGGTAGAGTAATCAGATTGCTATCTGTATGACCAACGAGAGCTGCTTCGTATATAATCGAAAGTATCACCTGCCTTACTAGAGGAGAATGATGGTACCTCTACATGCAGAAGCAGGGATGTCCGACAAGCCCAAAAGCTACAGTGTACCCCCCCGGTAGATCATTCAACGAGACATAAAATATTGATAGATGGGACTGTAAGTCTGGCGGCTTTATTACTTCTCAATTTACATTTAATACACTCAGCATCTACCGACTAGCCACCTGCAGACTTCTGGCGTTGTTATAGTTATAGGACATGCATGTGTCATGTTACATCGAGCCATGCTGCTGAACTTTCGTGGTTTATTGAAGTTGTCCCCCGCGGCTATCCTTCTAGGAACTTCCCTTAATATACTAGAAGCAGGCACGTACATTTTGTCATATCATAGGGGTGAACTAGCTTCTAATGTGCTACAGTGTCCATCGGCCTGCTGATATTTCCTCCATCAGCACACGATGCAGCTTTTGCTAATCTGCAGAGCCAGGCGATGTCGCTCTATATCATGAGGTATCATACGTACCTTGCCGTATTTCAACTCGCTCACATCTCGCAGTACTGTTATCTCGCAAGTAACGCTCACTTTTGGAGGGTCGAGTATGCCGAGCGCCATGGGCTCCATGCTGGCTGAGGCACTACCGTTTTTAAGAACGATCGCTGCTTCCATCCAGAAGGATTTGGGTTCAGGGCATCCAGGCGTGCTTCCGACAACGATGGTTGCCTATGCATCAACGAGCGTACTTCTGGGAATCGTCTTCTTTATACTTGCAGCGCTGCGCTGTGGCAGACTCACAGGCTACTTCCCCCGGACTGTGATGACAGGTGTAGTTGGTAGGAGTGCTCCGGTATGCTGCTGTGGATTGACTGATGTCGACAGGTGCTGTGGGCGTCTCTCTCTTTCTTTTGGGGCTTGAGATCACCCTATCTTCTAAATCGCCCCACCTAAGCTTCGGCACGCTGTTCGAGAAGAACCATTTGCCTTCGCTAGCTGCTTCCCTTGGGCCAGCCGTCCTGCTATCCTCGTCAACTCGCCTTTCCTGCTTTGATCGTCTACCCTGGAAGCCGACTAAGCATCCGTTGTACATACCGCTCTTCTCTTGTGCCATGGCAGGCATTTTCTGGCTCGTTGCGGCGGCATGTGGGAACACTTCTATGCAACAACTTGCCTCTGCTGGCTGGCTGTTCACGTCGGAACATAACACCACGCAGTCTACTGCAACGCCCGAGTGGGATTACTGGGCACTGTTTGACTTCAAGAAAATGGAATGGCGCGCCTTGTCCGCCGGCATCCGTGACATTCTTCTACTTGTCTTGATTGGCGCCTTGAGTCTTCCCATCTTCGCCTCAGCAGCAGCACTGGAATGGGGCGGGTCCGACCACAGCATGAATCACGAATTTGTGGGACATGGCATCTCGAACACAATAGCTGGAGCAATAGGCGCTCTGCCTAATCTTTTCGTAAGTGTTCTAGCCCCTCTCGCGATGATTCGTCACTCATGCAACGTAGGTGTACTCGAACTCTCGGTTCTTCCACCGTGCTAAAGGCGGCCGCCTTGAAGCAGCATTCGTCGCCCTTTTCACGCTTGTCTTCTTCTTCATTTCGTTTCGTGTCCTGCCCTATGTGCCGACTATACAGGCCTCGGCCCTCGTGCTGTTTGTTGGCATTGAGCTGATGGTTGAAGCGTTATGGGAGTCAACCGCATCACTCACTTGCTGTGAGTGGACTGTCGTTGTGAGCACAACAGTCGCATGTACCTTGCTAGGATTCGCGCCGGGGGTAGGCGTAGGACTGGCAGTTGTGGTTGTCCTGCAGTTTTGCTACCACATTCTGGATACGGTAGCGTGCCACGTATCTTCGGAAGAGCATACGCTGATCTACCGTACAGCGACCTCGAGTCACGCAACCATGCACACACGTACCGTTGAGTTCTTTCGAGCATCTCCCGCCGCCCAAACCCGTCATTGACCGTTTGTCCAAGGAAATGGCCAGCCCTGTTACGGAGTTGCAGTCATCTTCGACTGAGGCTCGGCCAATACTACCACTCGTGGTGAGCCTCAAGGGACGCATTGGCTCTTCCACAATACCATTGCTAGATCAATATCTTGCATTGTGCTGTCAATCACCCCACGTCATCCTTAACTTGCGCGCGGTCGATTCAGTCGAGACCAGCGTGGCAGAGTATCTACAGAGCCAGGCCGAGAGGATTCTTCAAAGGCAAGCTTCGCCTTTCAGCATCGTTTTGTCTCGTAGTCAGTCTGGAGTGAAAGGTGATTTGGAGCGAGGCAAGGTAAATTACAGCTGCGTTCCAGTTACATCGCCAGTGGCTGATTTTGTTGATCTGGTCGGTCGAAAGCAACTCCTAGCATACGAGAGCTTGGGAGATGCGATTCGTGTTGCACGATACGGATACCAGTCAAGCTCTTGCCTCCTGTCTGCCGAGTCAAACCTAAGTGTCTCAGCGTTGTGGGAGGTCGTGTTGCATCGTCACTCTAGCAGCAAACCGATGTTCACGTTTTCCGAGCTATGTTCAAAGGGAACAACAGTAAGAAAACTCAAATACGGCGAGACTATTGCTTGCTCTGAGTATCCATTCCCACCGGCATTCATTATACTCGATGGCCGTGTTGTCTTTCAAGAGCTGCACGCCGCTTCGGTGAACAGCAGAAGCAGAAAGTGTATTCGGAAGGCTGTATCTTCAGCAATGCAGGCCGTCTTTAAGAGCGAGAGGGTAGTAAAAGATCAACAATCTCCCAGGACGATGGAGGGGACTTTATATGGTAAAGGACCTCACATCGTCGCACCTACATCTCCGTTCTGCGCCCGTGTCGATAGTGAGTCATGTCTAATTCTCGACATCGACCCTACTCATGGCCAGCATTGCAATCGTATTGTCGAACGAGCGATTCGGAACGGCGCTACCAAGGAGACATAATAGTGGGACAGGATCCTGCTAAGCTGCAATCGACCAGATGACTTCTTTCAGTATTTGGGCTAAAATACTGAAACCTTAGGTTCCTCCCGTTATGAGCTGGAATCATTTTCTACCAGTTGTCGCGTGGACATCGAAATGCCATTTTGTCCATCGTGGGAGCGGTGGGATACCACAGCACAGGAAAAGACAGAGAACGCGCTGAGATCCGCAATCGATAGTGGGGTGAAGTCTGAACTGTTGAGAACTAGTGATAATAGCTTTTGGGGTCGTGGTTGATTTTCTTAGGCTACGATTAATATCTGATATATACACAGCCCAAATCCGATCATAGACGTTAAGCATCGAGTCTCAGCGAGGATTTGCTGGAGGATGACGCAAAGCAGAGTACTCAAACAAAAGCACAATCACCGACTCCAACCATAAATTCAGTTTCCACGATTCTGGTGATGTCAGAAAATGTAGTGTTAGGGACCACGTGGGATTTTGTAAGTTTTCCGTCGTCAGATGACACTGCCCTTACATTAAGTAGTTAGTATTGAACTCCACAGGTGCTATGACTGGATAGCAATGAAATTAGTCGTAGATTATGGCGATGTGTCAACGGGTCTCTAGGTTTTCATACGCAGGACGTGGCACACTCCTGCCCCTTGCACTAGTCTTGACCGTCAATCATTGTTTGCGCGTCGCCAACAGCCATAGCACATTTGTTGATGTTTCGCTAGAATTGAATAGCTCACCACCATGTCGTTATAAACTCCCGAAAGCTAGTGCATCTACAGGAATATGCAGCCGCTTATTGCTATCTGGCGTCATGTCAGTGCAATGTGGCTTGATGCTGTGCCACTCGCTTCACAAGCCAGCGCCACTGCTAGTGAGTCACCCATCCTGCGACAAGCCCGCAAGGCTGATCGCAATTTCGGGTACCTGGGTCTTCGATTTTCCGCACATCGACCCAAGCTCAGGTTCAAGGCCGCCATGGCCCTAGCAGAATGACGCTAGAAGGAATCTCAAATAGAGGAGACATATGAACACGTTTATTGGTAGCCGCCTCACATCTTCCGAGGCATATGCCCGATCGGATGTTTCCAGGCAGCACTGCTATGGGACGGATTTGCAACATGCTGCAGCGTTTAGATACAATGCATGATTACTGTATATCTTAAGGATCTGGCGACCAGAAGATGTAGCCACATGAAGCGGAAGACCTGAATGAAGCCATAGAAGTTTCCTGTCTTCGTTACCGTTGTAAACCTGGTTTGGCGCTGTTACAACGGGATGACGGCGACCAGTGACTAGCATTGCGTCAAAGCACCAAGGTACCTTCGCACAGACAGCTTGGCATGCTCTCCTCCTAGCCTGCAGGAGGCCGCAGCGAGATGTTATCGAAGCGTTTAGCGCTGCCAACTGTGGGCCCGCTGCATGGCGTTTCCCTTCTGGCTCACCGGTGCTTCTTGCGGACGGGTGAAAGACTGCTCTTGCTGGTACCGTAGCTGCGGGTCCTGGCTCTCAAACGCATTGCATTCACATTTCATCGGTGGTGTTGACTGCTAATTGGCGTACATACGTAGGCAAGCAGTGCAGGCATCATGGGTCACAGTGGACAGCTAGTTACACTGTACACGTGCCTGCTTGGATAGCGCGTGATGAGACGTAGCCGTGAGGTACATTTGATATGCCATGGCAGGATGCGGCTCTGCTCGCGGCGGCATTTTAACGCGGCCCTTGGTCTGCCGTGGAACACACAACAATTGAGATTCCTCCATGTGTTTTCCTTGCTTTTCACAATAACATCATGAACATACTGTCTACCTTTTTTCTTTTTATTCTCTAGACCGCCTTGCCATCTCTACAACCCACGAACGTACAATCTATGGAGTTCCCATTACTCAAAGTCCCCTTTGACATTCTGTTCTGTATTGCTGCCTATCTAAGCCTCGAAGACATTGTGCATCTGGGCGCAACATGTAAACAGTTGCGGGTACTCCTGAACGAACGGACAGTCTGCAGAAGCGTAGTCCAAGTAAGCATTGGCGATAGGGAAAGGATGAGGCGATTGCTGCTTACAGGATGTGCTGACTGGTGCTGACAGATGGAGTATGCCTATACAGAAGAAGCGAAATTAGCAAGAGAAGAAAAAATTACGTATAGACAGGCGCTGGAGGCAATTTACGACAGAAGAAATGCTTTGTCTAGAGCACAGCCTTTTGAAGCACGTGTTTGGGGCACTGGAAATGCGTTCGTTTATCGACAGGGGATTCTATGCGCGCTCAAAGGGCATATAGTGCACGTTTCGGACTTAAGTTCGCAGTCGTGTGATTTTTGTCTCGGTCTCGGCAATTTCGTAAGACAACTCCTGGGACCTTCTTTCGCGTCGTCAGAGGATTTGTATCTGGGTCTGCTCAACTATGCTGACGGGATACTCTCTGTTTACGTTTTTCCAGAGAAGAGCGTTTCGAATGGGGGTTACATTTTCGCTCTCAATACGCGGGTTGAATGTCCTAGTAATGAAAGAGTGGTCAGGGTAGTGCAGCTAGCTTCTAGTTCCAAGCTGTTTGTCAGAAATACGGCCGACTATCTGTATTATGGGACATATACAGGACGAGGAACCGACGGCCACCACAAGTGGGAGATTGAAGGCAAGAGTTTGAACGACAAGAGCGAAATACCAGATGGTGCAAGAAAGCTGCTTCTTGATAATTTCCACGGAACGGATATCGGCTCCACAGTCGCCTTCGAGATACACAACGACTACTTTTACGCCGTGTCTAACCAAAGCACGTCTGAAGTAGAAGAGATTGACTATACATCTTTTTACCACGTTGCTCGTTTCCCAGTCAATTCGGCGTTTCCATCTAGTCTTGAAACGAACGAGCGGCTGTACCGTCGTCAGCACAAACAAGGACCAATTCACGACTCGTGGACCGATCTTACGCTGCAAGTGGATGAGCGTACAAGTGAGACGGTGATTGTTGAGTCGCGACGAGAATGGGTTGAAGCATCGTCTCGCCAATCGCGTACGTTTTACGTCACCAGGCTGGAATTTGGCAACGAAGAGAACGACTTGGCTGATGAGTTGTTGCTGCCCGAAGATGATATATACCTCCCTGTGATGGACTCGTCCAACAAACCCCACTGGAAACCTACGCCGGATCTCTATAGCTGGAGCCAACATCCAGAATTTTCCAGCGACAACCCTTCACCGCGCTCATTCGTGCTTACGAAGACAAAGTTTAGGGCGTACAACTACGGATGTATGACTTTTTTGGATGTCGTCGAGGACGAGCGGTGCTGCAACGATACTTCGAGGCCGCCGTGTCTTAGGCTCCGAGTAGGATCACGACGTGAGATAGGTCGCAGTGAGACTCCGGCAAATCTCAAAGGAAAGGCTGTCGTTGCTCAGACGAAATCAAACTTTGTAGACAGCGGGACACGGTATCAGCATTCGCCTATTCGCATGTGGCCGCCTCCGGCATCCTGTTGCCCATGTTCAAGACGTTTACACGACATACTTAACCCAGTGTTACCTGCCAGCGATAATTTTTACACAAGAAGTGTCATGGGTGTGCTCGACGAGCGACGCCTCGTCCTAATGGTGGAAGCAAGACGTGCATATAGCCCAAGTGACGAGACGACGCTGGGCACCATTGTTGTCGTAGACTTTGGTCGCTCCATAGAGAGTAAGGATAGCATAGCATCAGTAGCTGGTGGCCCAGCACCAATGAAAAGTAGTGGTAGAAAGATTGAGGAAGAATCCAGACTTGTGTGGAAGTGGCAGCCAGGAATTGGAAAGCTGTGCCGCACTGGGGCGTGCTGAAAGACTTGAGGCTGTAAACCAGAGGGGTGGAAGGTTAGATGGATGTTGAGACTCATACGGTGCGCCTATTATAACTGCTGACATGTAAAATGGCGTTTGACTGCTCAAATGTGCTACGAGGCACGTGGGTACACACATGCAGGCCAGGAATGTAGGCTACAGCTTTGTTATTAGGGGCAATGATCAAGTGTTGTTTTCTCGATAGCATTCTGCTAGCGCATAGACAAAAGATAATGGCTTTCCTACGCCTCTTATAGCCGCAACAACGTGTACAGTTAGATGCAGCTATTGCCAGCTAAGAATGAGTTGAGGCTTTTTTCTGGTTTCTTTTGATACACGTTTTAGGATGTATAATTATGCTGTTAGGTGGGGAGTTCGTTTCGTTGTTTTATTAATATTTGGATTATATTGATGTTAATGTAACAAGGAATGGCTGAATGTAACTACATGTAGTCATGTATAGCTTCAATTTACTTGCTAGTCAGAACTCCCATTCCTAAGGCTACTTCGTAATCACTGCAATATATCCTGGAATTCTAATGTTTTTCGATGGAAATCCTTATGTTGTGAAATGTTTGTCGGTCGATGGTAAAGACTATGGACAAACAATGAACAAAGATAATGTAGTATCTACCTGCCGGCGAGAGATGTCAACTGTTGTCGGTGTCAAGCGAAATAGCTGCACGTAATAGTTGTGCTGATAAGGGCTGCTGTATATCAAGCTGTCCGAGCGGAATGTGCTAGCCGACAAAGAAATTTTGAAAAGAATATCAATGGAAAGGGCAAGGAGGTTGAAACAAGCGATACAAGGTTTGCTTTTACACAGCTACAGTGTTGTCACGATCATGGTGGCGCTCTACACTTACAACCCGTCTTTTTCACCAATCCAGCGTCGTACATGGTCATAAAATTATTAGTATCGTCTGAGGCTTTGTTTCGAGTGACTGGAAAGTGACAATCACAAATGAGGATGCGGGGGAGCAGGTGTATTCCCCCACCCGATTGTGCCGGTTCCGTGCCGCGCAGCCTCACTGGACATGTGCACACTTTAGTGCCAGTGGTGATTCTCTCACGAATACAAAAAAAGGTTTTTCAATCACGCTCTTGCCGAGACATGTATCTTCATACAACCTGAAACCAACAATTTCTCGGCAGGACAAATCACGAAAAGATTGTTATTTGTCCTCGTCAACGCATATTTATCAACATATGCTCGCTAAGACTAGAGGCAAGAACACTAGTACGCGACATTCAACTTCTACAATGCAATACACTGATTAGTAACTCTCCAATCCAAAAACGTAGTAATTAGCGCCACGCTTTAAGCAACGCCGTCTTCAGTAGCATCTCAGTCCTTGATATCAGGAGCAAAGTACAGTCTTTTACTGTACGGTCCACCCGTCTTTCCAACAAGCCCGTTCTGGGCGCAAAAGCCTCTAGCCCCAGATGGGAAACGCCGCACTAGATTCTGGCACTGTAGTTCCTGGGCATCTAAGATAGAAAATCTATCATCGCTGGCCCTGCAAGATCCTGCGAAAGCTCTGATCACCTTCTCTTCGTCGTCCTGATGTATTCGCATAGCGCGGCACCAGACGCTGTCTCGGCGAGGCATAAGATATTCCCACATGTCCTCATAGCAGCCTTCATCTTCGTATTGAGTTCGATCAACCGCTAAGACAGGGGTAATTATGCTCCTGAATCCTTTCTTTGGGAATGAGAATGTCGATATGGGCGCATTGAAGATACGCCGCTCATTGAATTGACCCCCATATGTCGCAGTTAGCTCGATGTTTGGACCCTTTGTATTCGTCCAGAGCCGGATGGTGATATTATAAGACAAGGCATCGTTGTTTTTACGAGTCGGTGTGAAGTTAAGCTTGCAGTCTTTGCTCCGTGACGGCTTTAGGAACTCCAATAGCGGATCCCATAACCACCACAGGTAGTGGTGCCTCGACATCGAGATGAATCGGCTTCTGGTGGATCTTTTCGCTCACACAGGTGAAGCTGTCACTGTGGATCATGCTCGGTAACCGGAGCTGTTTGAAGTTGGAATGTTCGAAGAGCGCCTTCTTGATATCGTGACACATAAGCGTTTCGGCCATCTTGTAGCCGAATCGCCCAACGAGCTGTGACACGTCTTCGGCAGCCCTTTGAATCTCAAACAGCAGAACTTGAGGCTCTACCGTAGTTGACAGCTCAGTTGCGTCGATGGTGCAACCGTCGTCATTCATCATAGTATGTGTATCTGTCGCGCTTGGTGTGTATATGGTTGTAGGGGCTACAGAGGTAGAGGTAGGCTCCTCAGTTTCGGATGGATTGTGTTTTAAATACCAAAAAGGGGTGTATGGATCAGACATCGTAGAGACTATCTTTGAAAAATAGTCTGGAAAATAAATAGAGAAATGTAGGATTGGAATTAAGGTAATTGGACTGTGACCTGAGTATAAGGATGCCGACCGCATTTATACCCGTTTACAATTTGTTGAGGTAGTTCGATGGCTAGGTATTAGCAGTGTATTAAGCGAATTCTGAAGTCTTACTGCGTAGGTGCCTATCGCAAGGCAGATGCATGTCTTGCGCCAACTCGCACAGTCCCTCACTGAGCTATTGCGGTGAAGCAACAGTCGTGGGCCAATGATGTGCCGTGCCGTACGCCGTGCCGTACGCCTTGCCGTGCGCCTTGCCGTGCGCCTTATCGTGCGCCTTGCCGTGCGCCTTGCCGTGCGCCTTTCCACGCCGCCTCCATCGTGACCTCAGGCAATAGTCCTATGATATATAACCATGTGCTCTCTCTTCCAGAGATATCATCACACCCACTACCATGTCAAATCAAATCGTCTTAGAACGCGATGGAAAACATTTGCTCATGCAGAAATTGGTTCCACCAGATACCACTACACCCGCTATTGACGATTTACTTTCGTTCAGCTCCCCATTCAATCAGGCTTTCGGATCTAACGTCCTTCTACTGGTACCAACGGAAAATCAGTTCAAGACGAAAGTGCTGGAAAACATCATTGAACAGGATCTTCAAGGAGCGACACTGATCACTCGTCAGCTCAAAGTTGATACTGGTATCGAGCAGCCGTACGATGAGAAGTTTGAAGATTGTGTGATAAAGCGCCTCAAGGGGGCGTTCGCTTTTTTGGAATGCAACCCAGATTTTCTAGGAGAAAACAGCATTGGAAGGGTCGAAATTGGAGTGATCGAGAACTATATTCGGCTGTCAGATGGCGACAGCAGTGCTGTTGATTTTGGCAGTATAATTATCCATAATGCAACTATCGGAAAAACAAGGTGCAGCGTATCAAGAGGCGTTACCGTTCAAATGGAATACGTGAAAGAAGCAAGAGAACGAGGGTTTGTTGATCCTGAAGAAAAAGGAGGAATATGCACTGTCGGCAATGTCCTTAAAAATCACTTCGACCAGGTTGCTCGCCATAAATTTGGAGGGGATTATGACATTTCTAAAGACTGGCATTTGGCTGTCAGTGGAGAATCACGCTACGCTCTGCTCGAAGAAGCTGCAAGAAAGGTCTATGCAACTGCAATTCAGGAATGCATTAGGAAAGCATAAATTGAGGAGTACTAGCAATAGTAAGATGAAATTGTGAGGTGACAAGCAACCATGGTTAGAGATGTCAAAGGCAGAAGGACGGTATCAAAATGCGATAAAGATACAGGAGTTAGGGCCAAAAATGGAGACATGGGAGCAGGGTTGTCAGTAGTATCAAGAGTGTAAACGGAATGGCCTGAGGAATGTTTGAAAGGAGTGCAAGGAAGAGGAAGTATCAGAGACACTTCTTGGAGTAGGGATGTTGCAGAATACTTCGGAAAAAGAAACTGATTAGTTGTATACTACAAACATGACGTGATGCTCTGTATCCTCGATGACCTACTGACACTGCTAGCTGAATGAACTAGGACATGAATTTGAATTCCATGTTCTATTCGTTTTGAATGAATAAAACAAAAAACTGGGTTTGTAGAAGCTAGGTTTTGGCCTTAGCAAACAAAAAACGGGTGCTGTCAACGGCATATTTTTCGACCGGGCTGCCAAGTCAAAGCTACTGTTGTCTTGGCATCCTAGTTGAAAACAATGGATCATAAGAACTCACTAACTAGCTACCAGTTGCTGTATGATGTTTTTTTTGAACGCGAAAAGAAGAGTAGTACTACTTAGAACAAATGTACAAAGTTGATGAAACCCTACCAGCCACGAGGATCACAAATTGGTAGAATAAATTGGTGTACGCAGATCCATTGCTCGGCACTTGGCGGACGTAGCCTTAGCTGTTGTGGTTTATATCTGTCAGATTCGTAACAGAAAGCAGGTAGATGACATAGCTACGATATCAGTGCTCTCACATGAAAGGATTCATATGGTAGCGGCGCGAATGCTTTATGATTTGCAATGTGCAGTATCCTTGCATGATGGAATGAACTCCCTCGAACAAGCATTCATGAGGAAATTTTTCTTGAGTAATCATTGCAAAGGCTGCAAGGTAAAAGGTCCTAGATGCACTGCCTGTTTTGGTACAGACGACTAAAGTACCTCGTGTTTCATAGGACTATAAATGTGGTACAGAATTAAACAACAGCAGGCAACGTCACCTTAATGTATCTTATGTTGTTTAATCTACTGCGTTGTGGAACAAGTTGCGTTGGTGCAAGATCATATGACCAAGTAATGGTCTTCGCGCAACTCCTTAACGGGAGTACCTCAAAACGAGATTGTTCGGTGTACTTGGCATCCAGAAATGTCAAGACTCCGCCCGCTAAGTGCCAAGGTAGGTATTCGCGTATGTGTGTCTGTCTTTTAAAATCATTTGTGAACTTGATGAGTGGGAGGAGCTAGTAGTATTGGTAGTTAGATGTATTATCACAAATGATAATCTATGTTGCGTGACAACATCTTCTAAGACACGGACAAGGTGAGACCCACCCGAGTATTTCCATTGATCTACAATCATACAAGATGATCCCATCTACTTACACTCTATATATAGTCACGATTTAAGAAATCATTCGTTGCGCTTAGGTCATTGAAATAAGAAAGACAGCTACTCGCATTTCCCTTCCAGTTCTAATAGAAACACAATAGCTAACTATACATAAGTAGTTGTATTAGAACAATTAGTCATATGCGAAGCGCTATAACAAATGCCAAGCACTCGGAGAACCTAGCCATGTCTTCTCACAAGAACCAATGCAGAGTGTTCGTGTGTGCTAATGAGTGAAGCCTCCAGTAATGAATAACCGTCCCAAGTCCTCCACTTACACAAAGTGACTAGGTCTAGCTCAACTACAGGAGGGATTTTGCGGTACGTTACAAAGTATGTGCGATTACAGCATTGTTAGATTTCTTATATATATCCTTAAGTCATTTGCAAAAGCTAGTCCTCCAGCTATTCATGCTTACAACCTAATCATACTGCTCTTTCTGTTATCATGACTTCCGTTGATACGCAAGCCGAAACGCAGCGTACAAAGAATCTTTATCCAGTTCTCAACCGCATTTCCCGCATCCAACATCTCAAAGGTCCACAAAATAAAGCTCGTATCGAAAATTTCGTCGGCTACACGAAAGTTCCTGTGGGTCTAGCAGGTCCTCTGCGAATTCAAGGCTCTAAAGACACCAACGATGAATTCTACGCCCCTTTAGCAACTGTTGAGTCCCCACTAGTAGTTAGTTGCTCACGTGGAAGGAAGGCTCTCTATCGCTGTGGCGGTGTTCACTTTCAAGTGCTTGGGGAAGGCATGTCTCGCGCCCCTGTCTCTATGTTCGCAGACACAACCGATGCAGTTGCCTTTCTTATATAAATTATCTAAAGAAGAATGTGTCTTTAGCGATACATATATATACTATAGGGTTAGAACAGTAAAGACCTAAATACCAAATCTTTCCTGTGCAGCGGGATTTCCTGTTAACAGGGAGGGATATTAATTACACGATTGCAATTTCTATATTGATAGGCATACATTGACTCAGAATCAATGCTAGTATATACCTAGGTAGGCCAACATAGTTTTCACGATGGTTGTAGGCTATAATGTTACTGCAAAGTCAAAGTGCCTGTAATTTCGTCTGTTACGGCGGTTGTTCCATTGCAAAGGTATTTAGTTGCGTTACCTAACTTAGAGCCTTGTGCAGTGCCCCTAAAAGTAGAATTTAGATTAACATAGTTACGTAGGCTAAGGTGCTAGTTTAGGCACAAAACGTCGCCGCCGGCGCAATAACGATATATAGCCACACCACTACGTAATTTTCTATTTAAGCATCAGTTATGTGTAACTAGAATATATGCAATTAAGAATAATAATAGACTTCGAACATGTTTGTATGTATTATCCCGCCTCCTATCTACTTGCTTAAGAAATAATATTCTACTAATTACACCGGTTGTTCTGGTACGAAGGAATGCACATTACTATGGAATCTTTCTAGGTTTCTTCTTCATTTCTCGCTAGCCATGACCTGCATTGTAGCTAGCCATCCCTCGTCACGTTCTGTTGTTACAGTGGTGCCCACGCATGCTGTTAAAAAATCATGCCATCCGTCCATCCCTCTTGTAGTCAGCCCAGATCGAACAGAAGCGGTGCACTGCGTGCTAAGAAACCATGCTGCACTTCCAAAACTTTTTTCGTCGTTGCAATTAGCCAGATCAAGTACCGCATCCAAACCCGCGTCGCCTCCAGCGGCTTCGGCCTTTGCGACAGCGTCGGCGCCAGCGACGCTTTCCGCATAGGACTTGACGAAAGATGGCATCGCCATCATTCTAGTGCCCTGACCTGGAATTCCTGGATAGTGGTTTCTGTTGTACTTGAAGTTACCTGACTCGAAAAGCATGTAGGCCACTAGGGCAGCTTTTTCGCCGAGTGAGGAGATCCCATATCTTTCAAAGGCCGTGTTGATAGCTTTTGCTGCTCGTGTGGCATCTGCACATTCTTCGGGGAATTTCGCGCCTTTGCAAGAGTCGGTTTCCTTTGCTATCTTAACGAGGGCCTCATGAGATAGGATTATGGATTGGCTGTCATGTCCAGACTGAGGAATGGAGACGGCGCAAAGTGCAAAGATGCCAAGCACAAGGGTGGGTATACAATGTCTCATGGTGAAGAAATAAAGCTAACGATCGTATGCAGAGCGCCAGCGTCGCTCGACTGCAAGGGGTTTCTAGAGAAAAGAGTGTGTTTTGGTTAGAAGGAATGGCTATAGGACGAATTTCTATTTCTAGCAAAGATTTTAAAGGCAGGCTCCTGGAAGCCGTCACGGTCAGCTTAATAAAAGAACTCCCCTTGGTGGAGGAGTGATCTAGTACAGTGGTGATAAGTTCTATCGCCTTGTGTCAGCGTAAGCACATTGCTAGGCGCTGTAAGCAATATAATTAATATGCTAGAAAGATGTTTACAGCAAGTCGTCGCATCAGCTTAGTCTAACCTTTCCCCGTATATTGGGACATCGTCACCTCTACAACAATGGGAATACTCAATTATCCGATTCTGTGCAGCAATAATGCGCCAACTAGTTAACTAGATGTTGGAGTAGGTTAGCTTAGGATCAGTACCGCGGTCTCTGACTGTATGCGAATAGAGTATACAGGGCCCATTCTAGATTTAGCAATAACAACAATTAGATAGGAGAGTCATGATATCTGCCCTTGGGCAACCCACTAGGATTGTTCATACAGGTACGCACAGCTTACGGGATAGTAGATAAGTCTAACTAGATTTTAATATAGCAACATTGCGCAGCCATTCCCGCCAGCGGTAACTCTAGTATAGGATTACAGTATCTAGAAGTTTCATGCCCGTAGAATTTAGGCTTATGGAATTTCACACTAGCGGAATACTATAAGACTAGTGCACTAGTGAGTGTAAGCTGCTGACAGCCGCATAATCAAAGCTTTCGTCAGCATCACCGCGAATTTATCAAAAAGCAAGGCATGCTACCCTAGACCACTTACTACGTGCTAGGATACATAAGAAATGTAAGCAATTTGAGATAACCCACAATTAGAGTTCACAAAAGAGTGCTTGCAGGAGCCTTAACTCCATATCAGTAGTTCACTTGTTTATAACATCGCTCCGGTTAGAGAGAGAATTCAACTTCTCAAGGCTAAGTATATATCAGACAAAACACGTTCCTCCATGCAAGTGTAAGCTAGATTATATTAGATTACTAGTTGTTTTGTGGGTACACTCTAATAAGATAGTAATGACGTGATTATTGGGAGGTGATGTAGATGGCTGCAGCACGTCGCTGGCTAGACATCGTGTTTTGCTTAGTAGATTCCAGTGAAAGCTGTATCTAAGATTTTTTCTTAGAGCTCTTTTAACTATTATACTTTGTTACCGAGCGTAGTAACTATGTCATAGTTGAATTCAATAGAGTGCGAGTTAAAAGTCTTTACAAAGCATGTTTTGATATTCTCTACTCTAATCTTTCTGCTGAGACGTTTTGCTATTAACTAGTTATCTTACTACTATTTGGTTTAATACGGAATAAGTAATGTGACGATACCTTGCCTATGCTTATTTTCCAAGATTATGCTTACAAGCTAAGGCTATATATAGCTTACTCTATAACTTAAGTACAGTACTAGGACAAAAGTTTTCCTTTTCGGCCCGATGATCAGCCATCACCAAAATCAATGCTGCATGCTTCAACCACCCATTTCTCCACCGAAACAGCATATTTTTGAGATCTGTTGAATGTTTTTGATTGCTCTATACTAGTGTTTGGTTTGGTATCCGCGAGCTTTTCTGCAGGCGGCGAGGCGGCGCGGCATAGAGTTAATTAGCGCCTTAATGATACTCGCTGGTATGCCACGCCAGCACTCTTGTAAGGCCTTACAAAAACCATCCCATTGTTCTTGGGCCACGCTATGATTGTTATACTGGGGATAGAATTGGTGCATGCGTTTTTTAAGAGTCCACCAGAGGTACTCAATAGGGTTGAGATCTGGAGAATAAGCGGGCCAGTCTAGCGTTCTAATGTGGTGCTCATCCAGGAAATCTCTAACCGCGCCAGCAGTGTGTATCCGCACGTTATCATGCATGAACAGCTGTGTGCGCCGCCAATTAGGTAAAAGACCTCGCTGGAGAGTTGAGATGTAACTTTGGGCGCTGTATCCGCAGCGGGCGGCATCCATATCTCTTTCCATGATCACTAGTGGGCTGCGTCGTGCACACCCACTTTCATCCAGCCATATAGCCCCCCACACCATCTGCCGCGAGCTGTAGCTGGCCAGGGCCTCTGTCAACATCTTATGCTTCCATTTTCCATGGGGATGCCGAAAGCATCACTCAGTTGTGGAGTCAGCACCTTTCTAAACCAGGCACTCATCAGAGAACTTGACTATGCGGCGCTGCCAAGGGAAGTTACGGTATTCGCGGGCGAAGGCGAGGAGTTTTGGGCATGGGTAGCAGTCGAATTTGGGCGAAGTTTGCAGCGGTAATTGACTAAACCGCGACTGCGGAGTACCCGGCTGAGTGTACGGAGGCTGGGAGGCTTCGAAATCGTCCCATCTTCTTTCACAAAGCTTGCTACTTTAACGAGGTCTTCGTATAGACTTTTAGGCATTGCGCATGCAGCCCAATATACTATCTTCTTCTGATGATCTGAAAGTATTGGTGGTCGCCCAGAGCGAGGCCTGGTATCCATGGTGCCGGTTTGGTTGAACTTCTGGTGCAGTGCCCGGATGGTGGATGGGTCGCGCCCAAGCTGCTCCGCCACCTCTTTGTAAGTTGCGCCGCCGCGCAACATCCCAATCGCGACACCACGATCCTCTATTGTCATGTGCGGACGACGGCGCGCATTTTGAGGCATCGTATGAGCGAATTAGTTGGGCGCAGCGTTGGTGGTGAGCGTTCAAAGTTGGGTGCGATGTTGGTGTTGGTGGGGCGGCTAGAGCTTTGGAGGGAAAACTTTTGTTATGTGACTGTAATACTAAAGCTAAAGTGATATTGAAACATGTTATAGACATCTATAGAAGTATATAATTATGTTTATATACTCCTAGTAGTATCTACTAGATCTATAAGAAATTACTAACTATATATTTAAGTGTTCTATAATAGAGAGTTAATCATAAAAGAGGAATAGGTGGTATACTAAAACCTGTCTCCTAGCGCCAAACACATACCTTAGGAATCCACTGGAATAAACATCCAATTAGTAGCTAGCTTAATATGCCATCGAGGGATCTATCGCTACAAGACAAGATACACGATCAAGATTTTGGAGAAATTGCTCAATCATTTTACAATTATCTTCCAGCTAATAAAGCTAGGTTTTTCAGTTGTCCAAAAGATGCAGTTGGAATTCGAGATGAATATGGATGGTTCCTACTTCATCACGCAGCCTGTAGGAATGCGACATAAGTAGTTAATCTACTTATCAAAGCAGGTGAGAACGTTCATGTTAGGGACAACTCCGGATGTGCCCCGCTTCATACTGCAGCTCGTCATGGAAACTTAGCTACGGTTGATCTACCTATCAGAAAAAAGGCCAAATTAAACATTGAAGATGACGACAGATGTACCCCGCTCTCAGACGCAGTATCTTCTAGGCATACAGATACAGCTAAACGACTCATGCAAGCAAAAACTATCAAACTCGACAGTATAGACAGAAACGGACGTACCCTACTTCATGAAGCAGCCCAGAAAGGGTTGACGGACATAGTTGATCTACTTATCACGAACGTGGCAATCAATGCACAGGACAACAAAGGAAATACCCCGCTTCATGAAGCAGTCGAGGCTGGTGCTAAACGCTTTGTCAGGCGACTAGAAACCGCCCGTTCACTTATCGACAAGAAAGCTATAAAACATCTGCAAAACAAACTTGGTCACACCCCGCTTCACCTTGCAGTTTCTGCTAGTTGGGAAGAAATGGTTGATCTACTCACTCAGAAAGGAGATCAAGTCAATATCAGAGATAAAAAAGGTCTCACCCCGCTTCATCAAGCAGCTCTGTGTGGTAATAGAGAAATTGTCCAAAGACTCCTCTCTCAAGAAGCTGAAGTCCATGCTAAGAACAACAACGGAGAAACCCCATGTGATCTAGCGCTATCAAAAGGACATCGTCGTATAGTTAGGTTACTAAATACTTACCGAGAATCAATAGCCTAGCAGTTAATAGTAACCAGGCTGGTAAATGGGTAGGGTAGGGTCGTCGAGACTTGGCGAGGACAAGCCCAGCCTACATTAAAAATTTTACCTACTTACATACTATCTCAAGCGCCTGAAGTACATAATAGAATGTGTGCACTTTCTGTCAAAGAAAAGTGACCGGGGTGAAATTATCATCTCTTCATTACTATGTCAAGACAGTGTTTTATCTACAGGCTCCATGGGTGGTCCTGCCCTAAGAGGTGTAAGACTTATAGCTCTCGCTCTATGCGTATAACTCTGCTGTCATTCTACACAGAATGCAGTTCCGCTCATTATACGCCTAGGCAACCTCGAACCCTGTAAATATCACATAACTAGATTATTATCCTGGTTTTAGCTAATTGAGTTATTAGCCGCACTACTCATGAGACCGATCCTAAGTGGAGAAATATGTTTCGCCACATTACGTTTTTAGATTTAGACTATATTAACTAGCTACACGTTAACACTAAGTCCATTGCCTAGACGAAGCTCTCTATAAGCTGGATGTGTTTAAAAGCGTCGATGTAGAGCGCTTCGCTTAGTAGCAGTGGAACGCTATTTTAGGACAGAATCCCAAAGACAAAGTAACATCTCTCGTATACTTTTAAGCTAAAACTCTACATAGTGCAGGAGTATATCACAAGAACAATAAACAGGGCCTATGGTGACAAATTGCGACCTTGAACATTGAAAAGCTTACATATAAGAATTTTCACAAGCACAGACTACCATGAACAAAGCCATTGTAGTGAGTATGTTAAGACCAGGATCTTACACTAGGATACCTATAGAACCGTTGAATATTCCCAACGACAGAACTCAGGGCAAAATAGCTGCGTAGACTGAGGTGGCAGTCGAGGGACGAAATGTCGCCGTCAACGTATCAACAACATACAGCCACGGCATCGCGTGTTTTTCTGTCTGGACAATAGTGATATGTAGGTTACACGCAAGTAAGAGCAATCAGAGATTATGAGTCTTTTTCAATAAGTTTTTGTGCCTCCTATATACTTGCAAGAGGAATAGTTTTACTCCACACCGGTTGTTCCAGTAAGAAGGGATGCACGTTAGTATCTACGATAGAAAAGCTCAGTAAGCTAGAGTTAGCTAATGTCGTTCAGTATTGCATAGTATCAATTATTGCTACGTTTTCTCCTGCAATGTAGGCGGTCATTGGCTTAATTGATATGTCCGTCACGTCTCTGGGTCTTGGTGAGATATTTTTCTTTCAGTGATATATCAGCCTTATTCTTATTTGCTTTACAAATTTAACTGCATTGTTTAGTTGACAGGCAGTACAGTTGAACTTATTGCTTTTGTTTTTTGTCAGTCCTCGGGTTCGATTCTAAGCGCTGTGTGATACTAGTAGCTTGTATTTTTGTCTTTCTTTTTATGATATCGTCTGAGTCTTTGCTAGCAGTTGCCTGATTTCAATTCTAGTTCCTATGTGCTTTTGCTGTCTAGGTATTTAAACTATCTAACAAGGCATCTAGATCCTTGGCGAGTCATGTAATGTGCAATGATGTTATCTTCCTTCATGCTGCGACATTGCTGAATCTTCGCCCAACTACCATTCAGCTGCCATCAATTTGCTGAGCATGGATCTGGGTCGCTCGCAATCCTCCGCTCACGAACGCGAGCTCGTGTATCGGACTTTACCGGACGAGGTTTGGTATTGATAACCGTTATGGCAGTGGCTCGCTCCTTATCTCTGTGTCTGCCATGAATAGGCGTTGCAAGTGTGTGCTGCCCGATGGCTGGAGTGGCTCTTGGTCGGAAGGAAACGATGTTTATGCACATTATGCTAACTTCTAAGTATGCAAGCAGCGGAAAATTTCGTTAGATGTGGGACTGTTAGTGTTTGGTTAGAACTAGGCGCAAAGGCTATTTGTGAAGATACTATGAACGCAGTATCTAACCATACTTAAGCTCCGTAACAGCAGGTACAGCGAATGACTACTCCAGTCTTTCAGATTATAAATAGATCTAGAGGCTTGCATGACTAACTTACTTAACCACAAGCTGCTAAGTAAACGAAGTACAAATATATGCTCTGGAACCATTACGTAGTGTCATCCTACCATATACCAAAAGGTCGCAAATACTAATTATAGAGTCATGTACTGCAAAATAGGCGTGGCACTATTCCGCCCCCTACTACTTGGGATACCACTTGGTATTACTCCGTCCGTCAGCACCACAACAACTTCAATTCAGCATTGTAATACTGGAAGCCATCTTGCTACCTGTTCTTGAGGCGATATTGTACGACAATTAATACGGGATACTTGGGTACCGCTGCGCCAGGCTTGATTCTATCCGCGATACTGCCTGCAGTCCGCCTGTCAGCTGAAACTCTTTTTCATCATAAGTTAAAAGCGGATCGATGAGATAGGCCAGATCTCCATTGCATTGATCTGTCATCTACACAAGCATTGCATCAAGTCAGGGTGCTATCACCGGTCCCGCAGGAACCCTAGAATTCTAAGGTTTCTACTCTGTCGATCGCTGAACCTCTATGGCGTCCCAACAGCAGGCGCAAAAACTGGCCCATGCAAGGGCTACCAGATCAAAGAACAACAACTACCGGAGACTTATCAAAACGCTGTACTCAAAATTGGAGAAGATGGGCGAAATCTACGACGCAGACATTTACTTTGTAGCATAACGTAATGGCAGCATCATCAAATGCGCATCTGCAGACGTTACAGGCAATAAGCTATGGTCACCTCCAACCCGAGCTGCTCTTGTGAGTATCTCCTTGTTTTGTTATGGTCACAAAAACTGAATCTAGACAAGGACCGATACTACCCACCTCCAACGACGAAGCTGCTTGTTCAATCTACTTTTAGCTTTTTACTACGCGTCATCACGAGTAGTCTGAGTAAAGTACAATCAACTCTGCTGCCTAGACAGACTCTACAACTAGCTTCGCAGAAGAACACTTGTACAGAGCACACACGTCACAGTGTGAATGCGGCCTACTTTCGGATACTATCACAACGTTTGTGCCACAGCAAGCGGGTATCGTATTGTCTCACTCTATAGAGAAAGCCTACCGTCTACCTGTTAGTTTAGATGCTGCTGACAGTAACTATAGTGTTTTAGTATGTGCTTTGAATTTTAGAATGCAGCGCTTACTTGTAAGATGGCGTAGCCTATGCACTTCAATACTACTGATAGTGATAGTTAAACGTTTCTTAAAATAAAATTCTATAGTATACAAGTACTGCCGATTCAATTTGACGTATCAAGAAAAAGATGAGTTTGAGTTACTAACTGCTAGGCAGCCGCAAGATCTCGAGGTGCTGCCAGGTTGCGGCTGGGCCTGCAACAACCCGGATGATTAGGCCTAAAGCGCTTATTGCAGCACTCCAGTACCCGCGAATGCATTCCCTTTGCCCCATCTAACTTCCATCGATTAGCTTAGAGGAGGCCTAGGTTGTTAATAGCCATAGTCAAACTTCCTTCAGCAACCCACTCTGTAGACCATATGCCTACAAATTCTTAGCATCAACCTGCATGCCAAAGAACCCGCCACGCGGTTATCTGATACTTTCTAGGACTTTCGTCTGTCACCTGTAAATCTACACACCATGGTGCAAATTATATCGTTGCCACTCTATGCTATTGTCTCGGGCCGTGATATTCGCTTTGACCGGCGCTTGGTTACAACGTATTCTTACAGCCATGTTAAACACAATTTGGTCTTGGGTTGATCCGCAAAACCACTCTGGGGCATATTCATAGCCTTCCTACAGAATCTGTAGCCACAAGTCTTGATTGTCCACGTGGAACATAGCTGAGTGTCGTGCAAAGGTGTTATCTTTTGCAGTTTCCTAGAGCACGCAGTTCATCGAGCAGCCAACTTCATATCGCTCTGTAAATTCGCAATGCATTCTCTGTAACATATAGACCAATACCGTCGATGTAATACTATCTTTTGTGGGCGTTCGGATTATGAGTTCACCTTGATGAGGGATTGCTTGATTTCTTCAAGGACACTCTTGTCGGGTTCGATACCATGTTTCATGAATTCCTTTCCCATCTTTGAAAATTTCGACATCGCTAGTAATTTCGCATGGTACTTGTTCCAGATATCGACGTTCTCTTTGTTCTTTGCTCCAACAGCGAGATCTGTTGTTTTCATTCAGTACGGGTTGATCTATAGTTACAACAGATTACATACCCGAATCCTCCTTCGTAGCGCGTTCCTTGATAGTTGCGGCATCTTTCTCACTGAACTTCCACCGCGTGCCAAATTCACTCTCTTCGCAATTCAAAGGCTTTAACTCTTTCAGAACATCTGGTGTGACATTTCTAGGCCAAATGACAATCATGTTCATGAAGTACTGCGCGTCTAATTGGTCGGGAAAAACTATGCCATTCCAGAGTGGCGGAGGGAGTGATACGAGAGGGTGGTACATGGCTTGAAATTGAAGTGCTGCGCCGAAAGATAATGTCGCTGTGATGAGATATATCGATCATATGCTTATCGCGAAGAAAGCGTGTGATATGAGACAACAACAGAATATTGCAGTAGAGAGGAAAAGATAGGAACAAGATTCGATCAGAGTCAGACGCTGTCAAATATAGCTTTCTAGGAGGACATAGTTGATCCGCTCTGCCTGCGATGACTATCCGATATATATATCTCATATTCAGCCGGTCACGTGCGCTCTGTCACAACCATCGTAGAAGAAGCGGTGAATACCAGCAGAAATTAGGTACGCGTAGATCACACCCCCTGCATATATTTTGATGAATTATCACACGTGCATAGATGCGTCCCTAATGGGGACATGAAACGCGTTGTTCCTCTGCAATCCCTCAAGCCTCACTATGCATTGACGTCTTTGTAGCTCAATTATCAAGCCAATCTTACTGCTGGGATCCTTGCCCGCTGCAACTCGGAGATTTTCGAAACACAGGAGGATCTTGGAGGCCTAAGGATACCTTTTACTCTACAAAAGTATAATAGTCCCCACTTTGTTACGTCAAGCCTTGCCCTTGCGGTTACCTAATCAATTTCAAATGGTCTTCATATCTGCTGTATGATAAGCACATATTATATTCTGTAGCAGGGATTCCATAGCTGTCTACTGCCCGCACGAGTTTAACGATGCAGATAATAAAACAAGCACTCAAAAAACATGACGGTTGTTGTCCGAGACATGCCACTGGCGCTACGAATCTTGCCCAAGTCATGCGAGGGACGGTCGTCGACGAGGTTGGCTAAATCAGGTCAAAGTCCCGGCAGCTCTGCAATCAGTCATTGTGCACTAGCGCTTCCACTGAGCCCATGTCTGGGTCAGAAACTGGCGCCAGGGTTGTAAGGGAGAGCGGCTTGTGCGAAATGTGAGGGACTGGAGCTTGTGAAATGTGTGAGGGAGGGTGGCTCGTGTGGAATGTGATAGAGGCTGGGCGTCTGTGCCGTGCATAGTCACACGGCAGGTAACCACATCTGCCAAGGATACTCCGCTTGCCGCTCATCTTACCCGGTCAATAGACATTATGGCTGGAAGTTGCGAACCCGTATCTCGGATATTTCCACTGCAGGTCTCACGAATTGCGGTGTACACAGAGACTTAGGTCAAGGAACAGGCCATGCACGATGCGCTTCGCACGCCTAAAGGGACTTCGCTGTCACTTGAGTCATGCTCATTGCATAGGCCTAGACAATGCCCATCACTATGGAGGATATTTTTAATACCAATGAGGGCGATGAACTGGAATAATGGTTCAAGATGAGGTTCGACCTACTAAATTGTAGTACAACTAAAGGAAACTAATGTGCTTCGACAGGTTCTATAAAACGTACGATTCAGGTGTACTGCCGGTAGCTGGTACTGGAGACGCTCCGTATTGGTAGGCTAGCTAGCCTAGAGGTTGACATCAGACTCTACCAACCTATAGAGACTCTGTTGCAGGCCATCTACAAAGCGGCGCGATGAGGCGCGACAGCATGGCAGTAAGCCTAGCTTGGCGGAAGGTCGTGCCGCCCTCCCATTTTCTCAGCTTTGTGGTGGGTTGAAGTCATGCATGGGGTAGCATCGCATACTGATATTTCTTTTGCATCGGCTACGTGACCGCGAGATGATCGAATTTTGGGTCTTTCGGCGCTGCAGAGTTTGTAGGCACACTATCCACATGCACCGCGCACCAGGCAAGGATGTTTGCAAGACGAAATGGATACGCTCAAGGCAACTAAAGCTACTAGGATGTCTGAATCGGGCTTCCGTCAACCTCCACTCACAGGCCTTCAGGCAAAAGCAGCATGGAGAAATCCCGTAGCGTGCATGTACAAACCTTGGGTATGTCACACCGCATAAGTGGCTGATTTGTTGAGACATGCTGATCGCATCAACGTCTCCTTTTTTACAGCTTGGGCTTTCAGGATGACGTGGTCGGACATCATGCTGCAGGCGGTTAGCGCCTAGATGGGACCGTCATTTTATACTCGCATGAAGAAGCAATGATAGTTTCCTAGGCTTGTCTTTGCAAATCATTGTGCGGTCCTGTTACGAGCAAGGCTGTGTTCCAAACTTCCCGCTGCATTTACGGTATGTGGAGCAAATTCAGACCTCGCGGTCAACTCAGCAAGGACGCTGGCGGAAGGGGATCTGCTTTGAACATGATATTGGGCAGTTCGCTTTGATCAACGTGGCCAAGCCAGCTATTTTGATAAGCAGGGACATGACAGCCTTTGTCGAAGTGGCGATAAGCAATACACATGCACACGCTGACATGGTTGACAAAAGTAGTGTCAGGCACACAAGGCTAAATAGTCTGAAGGTGCGATGGTAAGGCAAATGATCTCAGCAGCCAAGGCATTTGTTTATGTGTTGCTGTACGTACACCCCTATGAATTTACCTAGCTTGATGCCCTGCTTCGCCCCTTACTCTCAACCTACTTTTAGGTGGACTGCAGCCTTATGGAAACCACTCCCCTGTCTCTTAGGCTTTAGCTCTTTTGTCTCTGCGAACGCTATGCATTGAGTGTCAAGTCTATCTTTGTAGATTTTGCCTTCAGCTTCAGCTTCCTAGCCACCTTCTTAGCCTCCCTTAATTTCACCGCCGCTCCCGCCGCCATGAACACCACTACTACTCCCACATCGAGCTACTAGTACCACATAGACCCTTGGCCCAACGATGAATTTAGTCAAGACTCGAATCTTGTGTTTATCTGTCAACCATCAACCTCTGCCTGCGGCTTAGATTTCAATATAGCCTCAAGCGCTGCTTTCATGATTGCTGCATTTATGTCAATTTCCACTGCCGCCGCTATCGCTGGTCCTGAAGCTATATCCAATTCTCAATCTTAATCACGTTTTTTGAGGGTTTGAAGATTGCGATGCATCGTGCCATGAAAGAGCAGGACTAAATAACGATGGGAATATTGAGGTCACGAGGATGTGGCGTTGTACTATTGAAAAGTTTATACGGCCCACTAAAAGCAGTACAAGTGTGTTCATACAAGTTTCTTGGGCTATTATAGCCGGGCCTTTTCTTTAGATGCGTAACAGTACGAGTATCACACTTAAGATTGCAGAAACACAGCTTCACCTGCTACTTGGAAAAGATAAAGAGATCTCTAGCTTGAGTTTTGATAAAGCTTTGAGGTCGTTTTGTTGTTTAACAAGCCTGTTAGGACTAGGGTGAAGGGCAAGATTTCCTGAGTCACACGTAAGAGAGAGTAAGCTATGGCTGGGGCCGCGACGGAGCTACTATGCGAAGAAATTAGTGCTTTTTTCAGAGTATCCGGGTCTTTGGAATGGCATTTCACTGTTACGTCAGCTTCTTTGGCTGATGGGTTGACTGACATGTGTTTCAAGGCTACAGAAAATGGCTGCTATGGACAAGTGCTAATTTCTCATTGCCTCCGTCTCTCTCAACGTTGATTAAGGATTCTTGTATACTACTAGAATCTCGCGACCGTTCTACTTCGGCCGCTTCCTGACATATAAATGACCTGAGAGGCTTTGATTGCGCGCTTCTTCGCAGCTCACTGCTCTGAGGCAGCCTTGTGCTTCCGAGGCGCATTCTCTTCGAGTAGCTTCTGAGTCTCCTCTTCGTCTTTGCGATGCTGTATATTGGCTTTGAACGCCTCACTATCCTGGTTGGGAATGATGTTTTTCCGTGCTTTGTTCCCTATCATTATTTAATATATTTTCAAAAATCATCCTGTTTTCATGGTGTTATAAGTAATGTCCGCGCATGCCAGTCGTTTTCGTCGAACGAATGTCCTAGATTAAATAGATCTTCCGTAACTGTAACAAGCAGATCGTCGTAGTTGACTCCACATTCCTTTTGTACATCTTTTAAGTGTATACATGTTGATCGCGCCCAAGTAGCTGCGATACAGGACCTTACGACGAATTTACCACCTGAACATTGGCAGGCATTGACAGTTTTACATCGTACGCTCTTGCATGAGCATCGTGACTTCTTCTTAGCTAGCCAGCATCCATCCGCCTCTCCAGCGCTTCACCGTTTAGCTATCAAGTATTCTATGCCGGCTCGTGTGTGGAAGCATGGCATACACTCGTTTCTGGAGTTGCTACGAAGGCGTCTTCCTGATAGCATTGACTATATGCTGGCCTTTATCTACTTGGCTTACCAGATGATGGCTTTACTCTACGAAACGGTTCCCGCCTTTGAGGACACTTGGATCGAATGTTTGGGTGATCTTGGAAGGTACCGTATGGCCATTGAGCAGGAGGACGTCCGTGACTGCAACACTTGGGCTGGGATTGCGCGATCCTGGTACACAAAAACAGCAGACAGGAACCCAACTGTGGGACGGCTGTACCACCACCTTGCAATCCTGGCTCGACCCAACGCTCTTCCGTAGATGTACTACTACTCCAGGTCTTTGACGTGCGTTAGGCCGTTTGGAATCGCGCGTGAGTCAATCATGACTCTTTTCGATCCCATCCTTGGTCGTACCGCTGCCAACTTCACTCATGCCCTTCCGATCGATTCGAGTTTCATTAAATTACATGCACACCAGTTTCTGGGATCTTCGGTAAAGGAGGACGAGCCATCAGAAGATTCCTGGGGTCCAAGGCTGAGTTTCTCGACAATCTGGACAATCATATTGGTCGAGTGACAGCCAGATGGAAAGACCAAGGCGTGTATCTTGCTGTCACAAACATTGCTGGTTTCTTTGATTACGGAACGGACGAAAATGCCATGCGGCAAGCGTTCCTAATCGAGCTTTCATCAAAAACCGACAACTCGGGTTCTACTGCCACCAGCGACATACCACGCACAGCATCCACAGTCGACCAACAGGATCCTCTCCAACCTACCATCGCAGCAGGCGAAATCGATGAGCACCTTACCCAACTCGCCTCGCGCCGCACCTTTAAGAATGCCAAACTCCTCTTCAACGATACGTTTGCGCTTACCCTGCGCCGTCTCAGCGACAAGAACGTGCTTCCTCACGTACACATGGCGCTCTGTTTCCTTTCGTCACTCGCTTCTTTTGGCTCCAGTACCTATGTCCCATCGCTCAACGACGACATTCCCTGGGCCGACCTGGCCGCTTATTTGAACGCTCTTTTGACAACCGAACAAAGCCAATCAGCAGCGCTTGCCGGAAGCGATACTGCTGACATCAATGCACTAGTAACTGCACCGTTATTTCCAGCTGCCAATGAACGCGAAGATGAACTCCCGCTTCCAGAAGATAATCTGGTTAGGGGTCTCGTCTGGGTAGAAGACTACTTTCCCAAGACGTGGTTTGAGAGGAAGCCAGATGAAGAGGAGCGTTACCTCGAGCTAGCAAGCACAGTCAAGAACTGTACCAATCGCGTCTTCAGGTTGGGCTATACACTCTCAAAGGTTTGTTTTTTTGCAAGTTATAACGTGCTCTTTCTTACTTGAGTTCTTACAGTACAAATGATGGATCCTTTACGACACGGTTGATAGAGTTTTTTGTTCGAATCCTAGGTTTCAATAATGCGATGTAGCTCTTATTTTCCTATTTATATGTTGTAAGCCCAGAAGTACCATGTATAGTCACGTGGTTGCCCACTGACTAATAACGCTGTATTTAAACTTGCTCCTATCATGATACACATCACAATACACGATACATCCTACATACACAACTGCTTACATTTGTTTTTCCTGTACTTTTGTTTGAATCATTCACTGTTGTCGTTATTCCAGAATTTCTCTATACAAGGAGTTGGTTAGTTTGCACATTATATGTAATAGTACATGTTCTTTCTATGCGAACCAATATAGAAATATACTAAAGGTTCTTTCCACGTATTAGATCAGTGGGTTATCTCTCGTAATGTAGACTTATCAAATAGGATAAGACCTCACCTGTTCATAACTACTTACTATTAATATAACAAAATACTTCAGACTAAGCACTACTAGGTAAGTAAAAGTTATGATTCCTATTCATTTCCTTAATAGAAGAAATCTACATAGTTGATATAACGTATTCCATCACCGAGCCGGCCACTTTTTCTTGGCATCGCGAACTTCACGTACGACAGATAATGCCTCAACAACAGAACGCGATATTAACTCAACAAGAAGGTAGACTTACTCTAGCTATTCAGGCCTACCGTACAGGCCAGTTTAAGAGCATTCGTCGCGCTGCAGCTGCCTACAACGTACGGCATCAGCGCCTTTCTGATCGGCTGAAGAAAATCACCTTTCGACCTCAAGTATCCCCAAACTGCCGCAAGCTAACTTTAACTGAAGAGCAAACAATCGTTCGACATATCCTTGACCTAGACTCGCGAGGATTTGCCCCCAGACTGTGTGAGGTAGCAGATATGGCAGAGAAACTACTACGTGTACGAGATGACCAGCCTTTAGGCAAATGCTGGGCAGAGCGGTTCGTTACGCGTACGGACGAGCTTAAAACAGCCTTCAATCGAGCCAAGGATCGTCAGAGAATACAGCAGGAGGATCCAGAGGTTATTAACGCATGGTTCAAGCTCGTACGAGAGACAATTGAGAAGTATGGGGTTCATTTGGACGACATCCATAACTTTGATGAAACTGGCTTTCAGATGGGCGTAATTGGCTCAATGAAGGTAGTCACAGGCGCAGAGCGTCGTACGAGGCCTACTCTCACGCAGCCAGGCAATCGCGAGTGGGTTACAGTCATCCAGAGCATCTGCGCTGCGGGATACGCTACCCCGCCATTCATCATCTACAAGGGGCGCGTCCATATCTCTGCTTGGTAGGAAGAAGCAGGTATACCGTACGACTGGAAGCTCTCAGTGTCAGAGAACGGCTGGACAAACAATGAGCTTGGCCTGGCGTGGTTAAAGCACTTTGATGAGCATACAAAGACGCGTCAGGTGGGGTCATACAGGCTGCTCATCCTTGACGGCCATGAGAGCCACCTCAACCAAGAATTCAAGGACTACTGCCTCGTACGAAAGATCCTTACCCTCTGTATGCCTGCTCATTCATCGCACATACTTCAGCCACTTGACGTTGTCTGCTTTTCGCCTCTTAAGCAGAAGTACTCTCAACGCGTACGAGACTTGGCACGCCACCATATCTGGCATATTGATAAGGAGCGCTTCCTTCCAGCCTTTCAAGACGCCGTTTTTTGACGTGTTTACGTACGATAACTGCAAGAAGGCCTTTGAGGCAGCAGGGCTAGTTCCTATCGATGCGCAGAGAGTTATTGATCGCCTTGACGTACGCCTTCATACCCCACCACAAGAAGCTCAGCTAGAAATACCCTGGACGTCAAGAACACTAAGTAATTCGCATGAATTTGGGTCACAATCGAAGCTTGTAAGAGATTCTTTCGTACGATCGCCAACTACTGCACAAGAAGGCTTTTCAAAGCTTATCAAAGGGGCTGAGGAGATGCTACATGAGAATGTGCTCATGAAGGCCCGCGTAAGAGAGCTTGAAGAGCAATTAGCAGAGGTAGCAAAGCGCCAAGGGCGCAAAAGAAAACGAATCCAGACAGGTGGGACACTAGACTTTGGTGCAGGGGCATCGCAGGTAGCTGAAAGTAGTTCTGCTAGTCGTACGATGTCAAAGAAGGCACGTGGTGAGGGTGGTCAAGAAAAGGCCATACCAGGTCAACGGCGCTGTAGAACCTGCGGGAGAACAGGCCATAACTCTCGTACGTGCCAAAAAGACGTAGAAGAAGATTCTTCTTTAGATACAAGTGAGCCGTACGAAGCATATATAGCTAGTGTAGAGTGATCTAAGTTTTTGTACATGAAGTTCACGATGCCAAGAAAAAGTGGCCGGCTAGGTGACGTGGCCGGCTCGGTGATGGAATACGTTATAGAAAGTAAGGCGTTTATTTTTTTGTTTTCTAAGGATAATGAAACAGGTATGTGATTACAATTTATTCCATCACGATGACAGATAAAAAACGAAGTTTCTATCTATACTTTTCACCAATCAGTGTAGCGCCAATGCAAGTTTAGCCATGGTAAACATGTTCAGCATGTCTGTTTTTACAGATTCAAGTAAGCTATCCCAATGCCATACTTTCGGCCATTCAGACTGACTAACGATCTAAACTCTAATACAGGAGCAGCTATAACCTTGGAACTCGCCCAATGTGGCGCTAGGGTCGCTGCACATTTTGTCACCAGCGCTAGTGTTGCTGAAGAGGTTGTTCACAAGATCAAGCGCCTGGAAAACGGGTAAGACGCCGCTGTCTTCCAGATAAATCTTGGCAATGTCGAAGAGATTGAGAAGTTCATGGAAAAAGTCATTGCCCATTTCGGCAGGCTCGAGATACGTTGCGCGTCCACTTTTCTGTTCATTTTAGTGATTTCGCGGCAACTGGTTTCGACCGCAACTCAAGGCAGTAACATACAGCACTCAATTAATCTCTACAATCTCGTAATCGTTATCCTCAAGATCCATCCACGATTGAATTTGTCCAATATATAGTACCTCGTATTCATACTTAACCAGCATCAATATTCTCTCATCCTCGTAGCGGCCCATCGCCCTGTCCAACGCATGTCTCAAAACCATACCGCTATGGTCAGGCTCTATACGGGGCTGACACAGGCTAGTGCACTCGCAACCCGAACCAGGAAGAGCCATCTGGCATTTCATTTCGTCTTTGGTCGACCATTCTGCGAGTAAGGAAGTGTGAGTAATGCGAAGTTCGTTGCGAGCCTTCCTATGCTTGGAGCGAAGTAAACTGCACATCTTATCACCTGATTAGACTACCAGAATAGCAAGAAAAGTCAACCTCTTTGGGGTACAACTTGAAACCTTTTCTTTTTGTTTTACTCATGTTTTTGGGAAAGCTTAAGTTTGACGTTGTCTATCACATACCAGCATGTAGAACTCCAAAGATGAACATAATTTGTTGTTGGAAATAGAAAAAGTTTCATAACTCATGCAGTAAGGTTCGGGACCTAGGGGGTATGTATATAAATGAGCTATTGCCTAAATTCTTGGCAAATCTCGGGCCCTATGAAGTCTGTAGTGAGTAGGAGCAGTGCAACCAATTACGTGTCATTTGTAAATGCAGCTTCATAAGAGTGTAGTATCGACTATACTGTATCGTTGAGTCGCAAACAGCGCTGTGCTTGTGTGCGCTTGTTGTTTTGTATGTAGGTGTAAAGGGGCAAGGCTGAGGGGGAGAGGAATTTAGGGTATTGTAATCCGTAGCATGAAATGAGATAAACTAGCATGAGCCGTTAGCAACGCGACAGGGGCGCTACGCTCTGCACTGCATCTAGTTAGCGTACTATAAGTCACTACTAATTAGATGTCTCAATACCGACTCACGCAAGCTCGCTACAACTAGTTAGCATGCGTGGATGCGATCGTTGCGCGCCAACGCGGATAAATCTGGACACTACTCCTACTGGTCGTTACAAGCTCTAAAACCGATGAGTGCCTTTTTAGCGCTTTGGCTACATTGTATAACCTCCGAGCTTGAGTAATGAACACCTGAGCATGTCCTGACAGGGGTGTGAAGCTGTTTCGATTTGAATGTGTCCTGTAAGAAATGATGGATAGTACGAAATGCGCACGCATTTTTCCTATTGCATAGCTAGATCTCATAGAAATTATCTTCAAGAATAACGTGTCTTTGACGATAGAAATATATACTGTAAGGTTGGGAGAGCAAAGACCTAAATACCGAATCTTTTCCTGTGCAGCGGGATTTCCTGTAGATAGGGGGGATATCATCCGTTTCTGTGCAGCTATAATGTAATAGTTTAGATAACTTCCTAAAGAAAAGAAAAGTAATAGGAAAGCCTTCATAGGTGCACTAACTAGTTAATTAGAGGTTGAGTAGGTTAGTTTGGAATCGGTACCTGTCAGATAAGTGACAGAATTCAGGTGTGATCGAGCACCCGGATTCTATGATTCCAGCCAATCAGAGCCAAGCGCCACGCGCACCCTAGGTAGGGCCGATATATGAGCCACACCTCATACTCCCGGTGTTACAGCGATAGCGCTCATAAGGCGGCGCGCAGGCGCGCCGCTGAACAAGATCAGATCAATCAATACCATCAATTTCCACCATCAATTATCACAGTCCTTTTTCACAGTACAACGTGTCCTTGATTAGAAAAAACCCTCACAGTCTGACAGTACCGCACTTACTAACTGTATGCGAATAGAGTATATAGAGTATATTTTCGATTCAGTAATCATAATAATTAGACAAGAAAGTTATAATATTTGCTCTTAAGCAGCCTACTAGAATTCTTGATATAGGTACGCATAGCTTAGGTGATAGTAGAGAAGTCTAACTAGATTCTAATTTAATAATATTGCGCAGCTATTCCTTCTAACGGTAACTCTAGTATAGGACTATAGTATGTATCTAGGAATTTCATACCCGCATATGTAATTCAGACTCGTGAAATTCTAGACTAGCGGAATACTATAACACTAGTGTGCTAGTAGGTGTAAGCTACTAATAGCTACATATGTAAGGGGCTGCGCTCCGTGGAGCAATCGCGAGGTATACAAGAGGTTGTATTCGATAGAGAGCTATGGAATCTACTTGCGTGGTGTTTATTTACATGTCGGAGAAGGGTTACGCCGAGTGTCTGAGCGCGTCGTCTGAGCGCCGCTCAGGCGTCGCACAGATGCCGGGTTGTAGAGCAAGACCCGGCGTCTGCTGCTTGACCGAGATTCCATCGAGGAGCCATCCAAAAGGGCGTTCAGCCCGTTACAATACCCCCCTCCTTAGGACGGCACTGCGTCGCCTCTTCGAAACCCTTCTGGGAGGCGGCCTTCGCTGTCTCGCGCAGCCTCCGTGAATGCTTCCCATCGGTCCACTGCTTCAACGTCCTCTAGTAGCTCCGCCGGTTCGAGCGTCGTTCGGTGGAAACCTTTCCATTTCACCTCGTAGTACAGCTTACGCCCTCTCCCACGGCGGCGTACCTCTTCTGCTACAATGTCCTCCACCTCCCATTCATCTTCTCCGTCCACCTGCAGCGGTTGTGGCTGATAGTCATCCTGAACCTGGTTCGGGAGCGGGTCATTGCTAGCAAGCTTTAATCTG